TTTTGGGGTGTCTTATTATGATTTTTATTATGTCTTTATTATGATTTTAGGCAGCCTCTCTGATAATGGATGGGGTAGTGTTCCTGTCTTGCTAGTTGTTTGGCATAGGGTATCCAGCACTGTAGATTGCTGGTCATTGAGTGAAGCTGGGTCTAGGTGTTGAGATGGAGATCTCTGGGAGAGCTTTCACTGTTTGATATTACATGGAGCCGGGAGGTCTCTGGTGGACCAATGTCCTGAACTCGGCTCTCCCACCTCAAAGGCTCAGGCCAGACACCAGGCTGGAGCACCAAGACCTTGTCAGCCACATGGCTCAGAAGAAAGGGGAGAAAGAAAGAAACAAACAAACAGAATAAAATAAAGTTATTAAAGTAAAAAATAATTATAAAAAATTAAAAAGTAATTTAAAAAAGAAAAAGAAAGAAAGACGAGAGCAACCAAACCAAAAAACAAATCCACCAATGATAACAAGTGCTAAAAATTATACTAAAAAAAAAAATAGGACAGACAGGACCCTAGGACAAATGGTAAAAGCAAAGCTATACAGACAAAATCACACAAAGAAGCATACACATACACACTCACAGAAAGAGAAAAAAGAAAAATATATATATGTATATATATATAAAGAAGAGGAAGAGAGCAACCAAAACAATAAACAAATCTACCAATGATAATAAACTGTAAATACTAATGTAAGATAAACATAAAACCAGAAACAAATTAGATGCAGAAAGCAAACCCCAAGTCTACATTTGTTCTCAAAGTCCACTGCCTCAGTTTGGGATGATTCGTTGTCTATTCATGTATTCCACAGATGCAGAGTACATCAAGTTGATTGTGGAGATTTAATCCACTGCTTCTGAGGCTGCTGGGAGAGATTTCCCTTTCTATTCTTTGTTCGCACAGCTCCTGGGGTTCAGCTTTAGATTGAACCTCGGCATGTAGGTTGCCTGAGGGTGTCTGTTCCCTGCCCAGACAGGACGGGGTTAAAGGAGCAGCTGATTCGGGGACTCTGGCTCACTCAGGCCGGGGGGCAGGAGGGGTATGGAATGTGGGGCCAGCCTGCAGTGGCAGAGGCCAGCATGACATTGCACCAGCCTTAGGCACGCCGTTTGTTCTTCCGGGGAAGTTGTCCCTGGATCACGGGACCCTGGCAGTGGCGGGCTGCACAGGCTCCCGGGAGGGGAGGTGTGGAGAGTGACCTGTGCTGGCACACAGGCTTCCTGATGGTTCAGCAACAGCCTTAGCGTCTCATGCCCGTCTCTGGTGTCCATGCTGATAGCCATGGCTCGTGCCCATCTCTGGAGCTCGTTTGGGCAGTGCTCTGAATCCCCTCTCCTCGTGCACCCCGAAACAATGGTCTCTTGCCTCTTAGGCAGGTCCAGAGTTTTTCCCGGTCTCCCTCCCGGCTAGCCGTGGTGTACTAACCGCTTCAGGCTGTGTTCACGCCTCCAACCCCAGTCCTCTCCCTGGGATCCGACCTCCGAAGCCTGAGCCTCAGCTCCCAGCCCCCACCCGCCCTGGCGGGTGAGCAGACAAGCCTCTCGGGCTGGTGAGTGCTGGTTGGCACCGATCCTCTGTGCGGGAATCTCTCCGCTTTGCCCTCCGCACCCCTGTGGCTGCGCTCTCCTCCGTGGCTCCGAAGCTTCCCCCCCGCTCCACCCGCCGTCTCCGCCCACGAAGGGGCTTCCTAGTGTGTGGAAACCTTTCCTCCTTCACAGCTCCCTCCCACTGGTGCAGGTCCCGTCCCTATTCTTTGGTCTCTGTTTTTTCTTTTGCCCTACCCAGGTACGTGGGGAGTTTCTTGCCTTTTGGGAGGTCTGAGGTCTTCTGCCAGCGTTCAGTAGGTGTTCTGCAGGAGTTGTTCCACGTATAGATGTATTTCTGATGTATTTCTGGGAAGGAAGGTGATCTCCATGTCTTACTGCTCCACCATCTTGAAGGTCTCTTCTCATTGTGGTTTTGATGTGCACTTCCCTGATGATTAGTGAAGTTGAGCACCTTTTCATGTACCTGTTGGCCATCTGTGTATCTTCTTTTGAGAAATGTCTAGTCAGATCCTTTGCCCATTTATCAATATAGTTATCTGGTTTTTTGCTATTGTTACATGAGTTTCTTATATATTTTGGATATTAACCCCTTATCAGATGTGTGGTTTGCAAATATTTTCTCCTATTCTGTAGGTTGCGTTTTCATTTTCTTGATTGTTTATTTTGCTGTGAAGAAGATTTTCATTTTGATGCAATCCCACTTATCTATTTTTGCTTTTGGTGTCAGATTAAAAAATATATATTGCCCAGCTTGTTAGATCCTATATGCCAGGAGAGTACTCCCAAATTAACAGGCTCTCCTTTATCTAACTTTATATTCCACACCCCTTCATCCAGCATCTGAGAATTCAGTTCCTTGTGTTCTTTTTCCACTTCTGCCAGCACATGTCGGCTAGGTCCTGAAGCATATGGTTGCATTGTTCCCTTATTCAGACCAGCACTTTACCGGCTGTGTTATGTTGTGACTTAATCCTAACTATTGCCCTCTTGGCCAGAAGGGGAGGTTGGACCAAGACCTCTGCAACGTGCCCAAGCAAGAAGAATGTGCTAGCCCTTAACAAGGAGATGAGACTACAATAGTAAAGAAAAGTGAGTCCTCCGGTGTCAAGATGGACATGAAAAGTAAAAGAAATGCAATATATATGGAGAAAACTATAATTTGAAAAGATATATTCACTTCAATGTTAATTGCAGCACTATTTACAATAGTCAAGACATGGAAGCAACCTAAATGTCAGATGACATTTGAATGGATAACAGATGAATGGATAAAGAAGATGTGGTGTGTGCATATATATACACAATGGAATAATACTCAGCCATAAAAAAATGAAATAATGCCCTTTGCAGCAACATGGATGGACTTAGAGATTATCATACTAAGTGAAGTAGGTCAGAAAGAGAAAGACAAACACCATATGATATCACTTATATGTGGAATCTAATATATGACACAAATGAACTTATCTACAAAACAGAAATAGACTCACAGACGTAGAGAACAGACTTGTGGTTGCCAAGGGGTGAGGCGGGTGGGGGAAGGATGGATTGAGAGTTTGGGATTAGGCGATGCAAACTATTATATGTAGAATGGATAAACAACAAAGTCCTACTGTATAGCACAGGGAACTATATTCAATATCTTGTGATAAACCATAATGGAAAAGAATATGAAAAAGAATGTATATATATCTACAATGGAATCACTGTACAGTAGAAATTAACACAACACTGTAAATCAACTATACTTCAATAAAATCTTTTCAAAAGTAAAAGTAAGGTGAAAGCGAAATGCTACTGTTAGGTCAAAAGCATAAAACTTAAAATACAAACCAATCTCAAGAGAGAATCAGTAAAGAATATGCACATTTAAGCTTATACAAACAACTCTAAATGCACAAGAGCGGGGCTTCCCTGGTGGCGCAGTGGTTGGGAGTCCGCCTGCCGATGCGGGGGACATGGGTTCATGCCCTGGTCCGGGAGGATCCCACGTGCCGCGGAGCGGCTGGGCCCGTGGGCCATGGCCACTGAGCCTGCACGTCCGGAGCCTGTGCTCCGCAATGGGAGAGGCCACAACGGTGAGAGGTCCGCGTACCACAAAAAAAATAAATAAATAAAAAATAAATAAATGCACAATAGCAAACTCAGAGTCCAGACTTATACCAAAGATGTAATAAAAGGTTTCAATGAGGTCCACCTAAATTAAAGTCAAAATTACAGCTTTTTGGGTGATACATTACACTGTGCAAAAGAAAACAGGCATAAAAATAAAGCTTTGGCAACTGACTTATGGTGTACCTTCACTTCCAAGAGAATGCTGAAGACTGCCAAGGAAGAAAAAACCCAGGCACCAAGATGAAAACAACAACTCGATGGAAATATTCTAAGAGAAACCCCTGGGTTTTCTTTTTTCCATTTAATACGCAGGAAAAAAGAAATGTAAGACGTCATTGATGAGCTGACATAGTGAAGTATTTCTATTTCAGTTTACTTATGCTATCAATGAATTTCTGGACTTCCTGGAATTTTTTTTCTTCCCGTTTTGTTAAGATATAATCGACATAGGGCTTCCCTGGTGGCGCAGTGGTTGAGAGTCCGCCTGCTGATGCAGGGGACACGGGTTCGTGTCCCGGTCCGGGAAGATCCCACATGCCGCGGAGCGGCTGAGCCTGTGAGGCATGGCCGCTGAGCCTGCGCGTCCGGAGCCTGTGCTCCGCAACGGGAGAGGCCACAACAGTGAGAGGCCCGTGTACCGCAAAAAAAAAAAAAAGATATAATCGACATAGAGCACTGTATAAGTTTAAAGTGTACAACATAGTGATTTGACTTAACATACATCATGCAATGATTACGACAGTAAGTTTAGTGAACACCATCATCTCATATACATATAAAATTAAAGAAATAAAAAATATTTTTCCTTGTGATGAGAACTCAGCATTTACTCTCTTAACTTTCATATATAACATACGGCAGTGTTAATTATATTTACCATGTCATGTATTACACCCCTTGTGCTTATTTATCTTAAAACTGGAAGTTTGTACCTTTTGACCACCTTCATCCAATTCCTCCTACCCCTACCCCCCACCTCTGGTAATCACAAATCTGATCGCTTTTTCTATGAGTTTGTTTGCTTGTTTTTGAAGTAAAACTGACCTACACCACTATGTTGGTCCCTGTTATACAACATAGTGATTTGATATTTCTGTACATGTCAAAATGATCACCATGATAAGTTTAGTTATGATACGTCACCATACAAAGATATTAACATAGCTATCGACTATATTCCCCACACTGTACCTAGCAATATATACCTCTATCTATCTATCATCTATCTATCTATCTATCGTCTATCATCTATGTATTTCAAGTTGCTGATCTCTTAAGTTCAGACTCATTGTAACAGTCCTGCATTTTATTCACCCCCTCCCATGTTTACTGCTTTTGACATCATATTTTACATCTTTTTGTTTTGTGAATCCATTAACTGCTTCTTGTGGATATAGATGATTTGACTACTTTTGTCTTTAACCTTCCCTACTAGCTTTGGGCGTGGACGATTTACTACCTTTACTGTATATTTGCCTTGTAATTTTCATGTTACTAGTCATGGCCCTTTCTTTTATGCATAGAGAAGTCCCTCTAACATTTCTTGTAAAGCTGGTTTTGTGGAGCTGAACTCTCTTAGATTTGCTTGTCCGTAAAACTTTTGATCGCTCCTTCAAATCTGAATGAGAGCCTTGCCAGGTAGCGTATTCTTGGTTGTAGGTTTTTGCTTTTCATCACTTTAAATATATTGCGCCACTCCCTTCTTGCCTCCAAAGTTTCTGCTGAAAAGTCAGCGGATAGCTTTATGGGAGTTCCCTTGTATGTAACTTGTTGCTTTCCCCTTGCTGCTCTTAATATTGTCTCTTTAATTTTTGCCATTTTAATTACAGTGTGCTTTGGTGTGTTCCTCTTTGGGTTCATCCTGTTTGGGACTCTCTCTACTTTCTGGACCTGGAGGTCTTTTCCTTTCCCAGGTTAGGGAAGTTTTCAGCTATTATATCTCCAAAAATGTTCTCTGCCCACCCCCCCCTCCTTCTGGGACCCCTATAATGTGAATGTTACTGAGCTTGATATTGTCCCAAAGTTCTCTTAAACTGTTCTCATTTCTTTTTATTCTTTTTTATTTTTTTTCTGTTCAGCATCAGTGATTTCCACTACTCTGTTTTTCAGCTTGCTGATCCGTTCCTCTGTATCATCTATTCTACTGTTGATTCCTTCCCGTGGAGTTTTCATCTCAGTGATTGTATTCTTCATCTCTGTTTGGTTCTTCTTTATATTTTCCAACTCATTGTTAAAAGCTTCCAACTTCTCACTCTGTTCATCCATTCTTCTCCCAAATTCTTTGAACATCTTTATGATCATTACCTTGAAGTCTTTATCAGGTAGACTGCTTACTCCACTTCACTTAGTTCTTCTTCTGGGGTTTTATCTTGTTTCTTTGTTTACAACATGTTTCTCTGGCATCTCATTTTACTTAATTTGATCTTTTCAATTTCTACATATCTGGCAGGTTGCTGACTTTTCCCAACCCTGGAGAAGTGGCATTCTCCTCTTTTGTAGGAGACATTCTATGCATCTCAACAGTGCACTGCTCTCTGGTCACCAAAGCCATATACTCTAGGAGTGCCCCTATGTGAGCTATGTGTGTCTTTCTGTTGTTGCCGGCTGACTACTGTGGGTGGTCTGGTAGGCATGACTGGCCCCCAGTCTGGTTGGTTGCCAGGTCCTGCCTTGTGCAGAGGCTGGTTTCTGGGGCCAGATCATGCGGCTGTGGGTTGTGTGGTCCTAGGGTTCCCAGGGCTAATGCTGGCCCAATGGTGGGCAGAACTGGGTTCTGGGGTGGTTGGTTGTGAGGTCAGGGATCCTGGATCTAGTGTAGGACTACTGGTGGGTGGGCCCAGTTCCTGAAAACAGCTGGCTGTGGTGTCTGGGATGTCCCAAATCTGGTGTTGGCCTGTTGGTGAGTGGGGTTGGATCCTGGGGCAGCTGGCTGAGGGGTCCAAAGTGTCTCAGTGCTGGCATCAGCCTGCTGGACAGGGCTGAGGCCCAGGGGATCCCAGGACTGGTGCCAGCTCACTGGTGGGTGGAGCCAGGTCCTGAGTCTCTGGTGGACAGGGCTGGATCCCAGGGCAGTTGTGGGCTCAGGGGGGCTTAGGACAGCAGGCCTGCTGGTGGGTGGGGCTATGTCTCTGCCCAGTTAGTATCTTGGCCTGAGGCCTCCCAGTACTAGTGCAGAAAGCCTGATGTATGGGGCCAGGTTTTGGTGCCAGTAAGCTAGAGGGAGGATTCCAAAGTGGTGCTTGCCGACATCGGTGTCCACATGGTAGAACTAGCTTCCCAGGATAGATGCCGCCAGTGTCTATGTCCCCAGGGTGAGCTGCAGTTGCCTCCTGCCTCTCCAGGAGATTCTCCAGGATCAGCAGGTGGGGCTGACCCAGGCTCCCTTCAGATTACTGCTTCTGCCCTGGATCTCAGAGCACGTGAGATTTTGTGTGCGCCCTTTAAGAGTGGAGTCTCTATTTCCCACAGCCCCCAGGTCTCCTGAAAATAAACCCCACTGGCCTTCAAAGCTGAATGTTCTGAGGGCTTATCTTCCAGGTGCAGGACCCCTGGACTGTGGAACCCGATGTGGGGCTTAGACCCCTCACTCCCTGGGGAGAACTTCTGCAATTGTAATTATCCTTCTGTTGTGGGTCACCTTTGGGGGAGTATGGGACTTGACTAAACCACATCTCCGCCCCTCCTACCTGTCTCATTGTGGTTTCTTCTTTATGTCTTTGGTTAGAGATCTCTTCTGCTAATCTTCTGGTTTTATTTATCAGTAGTTGCTCTGTAAATAGTCATAACCTTGGTGTGGCCATGGGAGGAGATGAGCTCAGGGTCTTCCTACTCCGCCATCTTGGCCACTCCTCTTCCTGGGATTTTAATTAAGAATAAACATATCTTGGGGATATTTTTCACAATTTCTGCAAACTCTAAATAGAATCAGACAGCTCTGATGTGGACCTGAGACTTTGTGTGGGGACTATGGAAATATCTGGAATTCTTCACAGGTGGCAGGAATTCTTCATCCTCATACTCAATGGTAAAAAACTGATAACTTTTCCCCTAAGTTGCAACATCTCATGACACTCTGAGTGATGGATAGAGACCACCAACAACAGGGGTAAACTCCTTTATCAAGGATCTTCTGGACCTCATAAAAATGGCAGAAAATAATACAGACAGTCTTAAGTGTCCAGTGTTATCTTTCAGGGCTGAGACATCTCTGGAACCCTGTTGACTTTACACAACCAGGACTCCTGTTACAAATGCATAATTCTTGAATAATGTAAGCCCCCCAAATCCTAGCTAATACAAAGTACAAATACCTTGGTATAACAAAAATTTTCTGGGTCCAGTGAAAACAAAATGTGGACTGAATCTGTTAAATGAACTTATATGATCTAATTTCACATCTGTAAAAATTTGTTTATTCAATTTTTTTTAAAAAGATCTTAAATGGTTACTTATGTTATCTTTTTAAACTCAATGTGTTTCCCCTTCAGGTGCAAATGTTCATCTTCTTCCTAGAGCAACTGGGAGAAAGTGCCAGTATCCCTAATGAGGAGAAGCAACTGGGAGAAGCAACTGGGAGAAGCAACTGGGAGAAAGTGCCAGTATCCCTAATGAGGAAGCAAGGTTTGAGCCCATCATCATATACTCAAGGATGTAAAGCTGTGGCTGGACCAAGATTCAAACTAATTTCAAAGAATTCCTCATGATTCTGGAGGTCACTTAATTGACATAGGAAGAGGATATGTTAAATGGGCGAGAATTTAGAAAGATATAGTAGGAAACCACTGCTAACAAAGATCTCAGTACTGTTCATTAGAAGCTAACATCAGTAATAGTGACAATGTCATTGCACATAAACCCTGCTACAGGATAGTAATCTGCTGCTACTATAACATGGCCAAAGAAAATTACTGTAATTCCTCTCAATGGATGCAGAAAAAGCATTTGACAAAATTCAACATCCATTCATGATAAAAACTCTCAACACTCTGGGTATAGAAAGAGCATACTAACATAATAAAGGCCATATACGATAAGCCCACAGATACCGTCATACTCAATGGTGAAAAGCTGAAAACTTTTCCTCTAAGATTAGGAACAAGGAACAAAGATCCCCACTCTCACCACTTTTATTAAACATAGTACTGGAAGTCCTAGCCAGAGCAATAAGCGAGAAAAAGAAATAAAAAGCATCCAAATCAAAAAGGCAAAAGTAGGGCTTCCCTGGTGGCGCAGTGGTTGAGAGTCCGCCTGCCGATGCAGAGGGCACGGGTTCGTGCCCTGGTCCGGGAGGATCCCACATGCCGCGGAGTGGCTGGGCCCATGGGCCATGGCCGCTGAGCCTGCGCGTCCGGAGCCTGTGCTCCGCAACGGGAGAGGCCACAGCAGTGGTAAAAAAAAAAAAGGCATACCGCAAAAAAAAAAAAAAAAAAGGCAGAAGTAAAACTGTTTCTATTTGCAGATGGCATGAACCTATATATATAAAACACCAAAGACTCCCTTAAAAAACTGTTAGAACTAATAAATTCAATAAAATTGCAGGATACAAAATTAATATATAAAAATCAGTTGCACTTCTATACACTAACAATGAAAAATCAGCAAGAGAAATTAAGAAAACAATCCCATTTTCAACTGCACCAAAAAAGAATAAAATACCAATGTATAAATTTAACCAAGAAGTTAAAGATTTGTAAACTGAAAACTATAAGACTTTGGTGAAGGAAATTAAAGAAAACACAAATAAATGGAAAGATATTCCATGCTTGTGGATTGGAAGAATTAATACTGTTAAAATGCCCATACTACCCAAAGCAATCTATAGATTCAATGCAATTCCTATCAGAATTCCATCACATTTTTCACAGAAATGAAAAAACAATCCTAAAATTTGTATGTAACCACAAAGACCTTGAATAGCTAAAGCAATCTTGAGAAAGAAGAACAAAGCTGGAGGCATCACACTCCCTAATTTCAAACTATATTACAAAGCTATAGTAATCAAAGCAGTAAATATTGACATAAAAACAGACACATTGATCAGTGGAACAGAATAGAGAGCCCAGAAATAAACCCATGCATGTATGGCCAATCAATTTATGACAAAGGAGAATATACAATAGGGAAAGGATAATGGCTTCAATAAATGGTGTTGGGAAAACTGGACAGCACATGCAAAAGAATGAAACTGGACCCCTATCTTACACCATAGACAACAGTCAACTCAAAATGGATTAAAGACTTGAACATAAGATCTGAAATCATAAAATTCCTAGAAGAAAACATAGGCAATGACAACTTTAACATCAATCTTGGCAATTTATTTTTTGGATTTGACATCAAAAACAAAGGCAACAAAAGCAAAATAAAAGGTGGGACTACATCAAACTAAAACTAAAAAGCTTCTGTACATCAAAGGAAGCCATCAACAAAATGAAAAGACATCTACAGAATGGGAGAAAATATTTGCAAATAATGCATCAGATAAGACGTTAATATCCAAAATATATAAAGAACTCATACAACTGAATAGTAAAAATACAATCTGATTTTAAAATGGGCAGGGGAACTAAATAGATGTTTTTCATAGAAGACAGATACAAGGTCAACAGGTACATGAAAAGATATTCAACATCACTAATCTTCAGGAAAATGCAAATCAAAACCACAGTGAGGTATCACCTCATGCCTGTTAGAATGGCTATCATCAAAAAGACAAGAGATAACAAGTGTTGGCAAGGCTTGAGGGAAACTGGAACCCTTGTGCACTGGTAGTAAGAATGTAAATTGGTGCAGCCACCTTGGAAAACTATGGAGATTCCTCAAAATAAAAATAGAACTACTGTATAACCCATCAATTCCACTTCTGAATATATATCTGAAGGAAACAAAAAGCCTATCTTGAAGAGAGATCTGCACCCCATATTCATTGCAGCATTACTTGCAATAGCCAAGACATGGAAGCAACCTAAGTGTCCATCAACAGGTGCATAGATAAAGAAAATGTGTGTATATATACAATGGAATATTAATCAGTCACAAAAAGAAAGAAATGCTGCCATTTGGGACAACATGGATGGACCTTGAAGACATTATAGTAAGGGAAATAAGTCAGAGAAAGAAAATACTGTATGATCTCACCTATGTGGAATCTACAGAAACCAAATTCATAGAAACAGAGATTAAATTGGTAGTTGCCAGAGTTGTAGAAGGGAGGGGTGAAGGTGGTCAAAAAGTACAAAATCCCACTTACCAGATACATAAGTTCTGAGGATGTAATGTACAGTATCATGACTGCAATACTGTATTGTATATTTGAAAAGTGCTATAAGAGTAGATCTTAAAAATTCTCATTGTAAGATTAAAAAATTGTAACTGTATGAGGTAATGGATATTGAATAAACTCAACATGGTAATCATTTAACAATATATATAAGTATCAAAACATTATGTTGTACAGTTTAAAGTAATACAATGTTATATGCTGATTATATTTCAATCAAAGTGGGGGGGGAGAAAATTACTATAAATCACTTTATTTTTAATCTAAAAATTAGAAGCTTTAGTATTTTATTCCACTGATAGCATTTGCTCTAAGGGAGATAGAGACACAAACAGATAAATGTATGTTTTACAGGCCATCTTCCTGATAAGGTTGAGGTAGTTGTCCATCACACTGGCTAACCTAAATATGAGGTACCATGAAACCAACTGGTTTATAGAATGTGCAACATTTAAGCATGCACAACTTACAATACAAGCTTAGGGAGAGCTTGATTATACATAGATGATAAATTGTAAATGCAGCTACAGCTGCGTTATGTGATATGATAGCCTGTTTCTTTACTCTGCAACTGTAGTGAGACTATAAAAGTTAGATTATGCATCAGTATAACACCCATCATTAATATAACTAAAGGTGTGTCACAATGAAAGAGACAAGATGGTCACTAAGAGGATTAAAACTCACAGAACAATCGTTTCTAAAAGATGAAATGTCATATCACTATCATAAAACAAAAAACTAGAATCGTCTCTTTGTGTACATCTAGGCTCCAGGTTTTTGTTCAAGCAAGTTTGCAGTCATGTAGCACAAGTAATGTGCTACAGTCACGCCTCTCACCCTGCAATTTTCTTTGCTACATAGAACTGTGATGAATTGGCTTGCAGGGGGATTCAATTACTAGGGACACATTTCATTTTCAAATCTGAACATTTTTGCAAAGATGGATATTTTTAGAAAGCCTCCTAATATTGCTTTTCAGAAGCTCTACTGATTTTATTGAAATCAAAAAAGCAAAAGCCATAAAGATCAACATTTAGAATAGACAAAAAAAAAGTATGCTTTATTGTTCTAAAGAAAATAAATCTAATTTAAAACATGCAAGAAAGATTTTGTTGACTGCTCAGTTTCGGTTTCTCAGAAATGAGAAAATCATAATGAATGAATATATGTGAAAGATCTTGAAAGTGTATATACCTTTTGACCCACAATTTTACTCCTAGGAATTTATCCTTAAAAGAATTATTAACAAAAATGCATAAAGACATACACACAAATAGGTTTACTGCAGTATTTACTTACAGCAAAATACTGGGAAATATTCAACTGCCTAATACTACAAGGTCAAATACGTAAAGTCCAGTACCTCTGAAAATGTGCAACTACACAGCCATATTGTGGTGCAGAAGAATATTTATGGACATGGGAAAGTTTTAATATTAAGTGAAAAATATTATAATGTTAAGGGTACTTATAGAAGTGAT